GTCTGTTAGTGTAAAGCGCTTTGGGGGTCCGGAGGGACTTGAAAAAGCGCTCTATAAGTTCAGTACCATTTACCATTTACCTTTACCATATATATATATATTTTTTTTCAGATTAGAATGAGCTCACTGAAGCAGATGGGTGATTGCATTTTTGTATCTAGTCACAAGACACTGATCAAACTGCAGGGCCTCCAGAAAAGGTTTTACTTTTGTACTTGAGTACTTTTAWTATCAGTCTCTTCAGGACTGTTTGGGAGGTGAGATGTTGGAGCAAGAGAAGAGGCACTTTCAAATCCGTCATGTCTTGTCGAGTTGGGCCAAACACGTAGACCTGCAACCTTGTTCTGGTTCAGTCTCTCCAGCTGTTTCTTTGCCTTCTGGAGTCAGATATGGTGGGAGGTTTTAATTATTTCTAACATTAACGTGTCTTTGTTAAAGTTCTTGACAAAAGTACAACGGCGAGACTGTAGAAGTGTGATCGGGTCGTTGTGGCCCCAAGGAGGGAGGGACTGGGGGGGGATTCTTGAACCTGTTTGAGAAAAGCAACAACWTTGTTCAAATGTCAGTAAGTGTCAGAGGGAAATCCACATATTTAGTGTTTGTTAATACTTATGACCAAAAGCAGATGTTTGTTGCACAGTGTGAATAAATGAAAAATAAGCTGCAGCTTCAGGGCTTTTGTGTTTGAACTGTCAGTGTGGGTCAGAGCTGTACACTGCCACTGAAGTTTCAGGGCCACTAGAAATAACTCAATTCTCTAAGGGCAGGATATAAAAATGCCCAAACTGCAATAAAATTAGATTCCAGGTTCTACGCTTTGTACATAGTTTGACATTCGGGGATTCTGAGAAAGAGTCCTGCTCTTTTGTAAAAAAATAAATAAACAAAATAAAATAAAATGTTTAAAACGTGTGCTAATGTTTCCTTTCAGCTTGCCATGACTCACCCCAGCCACCACCTCAACTTTGGCATGAATCCCGATCACGCTCGCAACTCGCTGTCCAACTGTGGCATCCGCCAGCCGAAATATGGCGACAGGAAGGTCCACCACATGTACATGAGGAAAAAAGGTCAATATACACGCAGCTACCCCCCCCACCCCACCCCCGTTTCTACCTTTTTTATCTTATTTTTTCTCTGTGTGTCACCGTGCCTAACCCTTTCACCCTGTGGATCATTTTTCTTTTCAGGAATCAACACACTGATTAACATCATGTCTCGTTTGGGCCAGGATGACCCCTCTCCCTCCAGGTGGGATACCTGCAGGGGCATATCTGTTCACACATATCAGTGACCACGGGCACAATCAAAGGGACAAATCTTGTGATTAATATACCCGGCAGGCCTGCTGACAAGAAAATTAACTTTAACTGTGGAAGGAAGGCATATCTCAGAGGGGAATGAAATGAGCTAATTTTAAGGGCAACGACTGCTTATTATTGAATGTGAGCTGGAGTTATTCTCAGATCCAGTGTGTCTGTCTTCCTTCACATCTCCACCTTTTTTTGTTCTCTCTTCCGTCTCCTCTTCACCTCTACAGGATCAATCACAACGAGAGACTGGAGTTCCTGGGGGATGCTGTTGTCGAGTTCCTCACCAGGTGAGAAAGCACGTCTTTGATAGACGCAGGCGCTAATTGAAGCTGAATGCAAAACTGTCGGCCTCTCTGTCTTTTTTTTCTCCTTCTTTCTTTTCCCTTCTCGCCCTCTCACTTCATTTCCTTCCATCTTTCTCATTGTCTGCATGTTTCCTTGTCTGTCACAGCCGCGCTCTTCTCCATGCTTTTGCCTCATTCGAGACACTGATTCACTGGTAATTGGAACTGGATATAAACCCCACACCTTTTCTGCACCCCTCACTGTATCCCCCAATTTACTTCAACAGCCAGAAATTCTTCATGACAACTTGCAATTAGCTGTCTTGAATTGCTGTCAGTATTGCTGACTGTGTTATTGACTCCCAGGTGAGTGTGGATGTTACTGCCCAGCGCTTACCTAAGCACACAGCTAATTATATATACGTATATATGTGTGGATTTATAGCTATTATTAGTCTCACACACTACCAAGAAAGGCAGCTGCCTGTCTATCCACTCATTGTACCAACACCACCTCATTTTAGATGAATCTGGACAATTTTTGCCTTAAAACCCACATTTAATATAATACAAACCACAGGTATACACACATTCTCTAATTGTTGGAAATTAAAGTCAGCAGAACCCATTTTTAAGAAGCTGCCATATAGTATTTTTGGAACCAGATTCTGTGCAATAAAGATGTAGGGCTTCAAGTTTTACTTTCACCTTCTGGGATAAACTATATGTCCACACCCTTGAGGTCAAAAAACACTAGTTTTKTACCTAGATCTTAATGGAGATGGTTTGTTGATCTCAAAACTCTGATGATGCAGAGGGTCAGAAGTTGAAGATGGTGTCATGACATTGAGACTTTAGAAAACAATCATTACAATATAAATTGGATCCTGGATTAAACCAGAAGGCATTGTAGGGAGGCCAATATTAAAGTTAATCTCCACCCTTGTTTATATCTCTCTTAGACCAAAGAGCGGTCTTCAACCCTGTGCCTTGTTACCCACTGTCGATCATGTTTTAGATGCTTCCCTGATTCTACACACCAGAGTGAAAGGAATGAGTGACTGATGGGCCTTCTGCCAAACTTGTTGACATTCTGAGTAGGTAATTTACTTATCTGAATTAGGTGTGTCGAAGCAAGGAACCAGCTAAAACATGCAGGAGGAACACGGTTCAAGACCTGAAGCTCATCAGTGAAGCAATAAAAAAAATATTTTGTTTTCTTAAGATAGACTCTAATGGAAGCAGATACAAAGAACACAATGAGGTTTACGACGGAGCTTTGAGGACATAGGGAACACATAGGGAAGACACATTTCCTAACTGAACATTTAAATATGTTTACAATCTGGGACTCATCACTGTCATTGCCTTTGATTATATCATTACTAATGTCCTGCATGTTCCTTAAAGGGCCAATATTATGTGTTTCTCATGCATACACCGGTAGTTCAAATTCTATACCATAATAAAGTAACTAAATCACCTTCAGTTGCTATGAAAATGCTGTCAGTTTAAATAAATCAAAAATAAATTTGGCTTTGCTTCATGCTGTTCACAATCTGTAGCATTGTAGCCTATTTTGTTGTAATAATAATAATAATAATAATAATAATAATAATAATAATAATAATAATAATAATAAAAGCAGCAACATTGTACAATATAGTTTTTTGAAAATGGCAACTCAGGGTACAACTGTCAGACCCAGATTTTCTGAACAACCGGATTGAGTAGAGAGATGACATTTCAGCTTGGTGAGATATCTTCCAGTCATCCTCACATACATACAAATCAACGTTAAGCTAATTTATTTATTACTAAAAGGTGGTGTAAGTCAGCTAAAGAGCACAGATGGTAATATAAACTACGAGCGCTAACCATTGCTCACAGATAGCTCAAACAACAGAACAAAACATCGTGAGGTGGTTTTCAGCTTACCTGGGCAGACAAAAACAGTGTTTATGTTCTTCTGAGTGTTGGAATTGCATAGTCTTTTAAGCTTGTTATTAACCCACTGTTAAATTCCCTTTTGTGTTCAGAAAGCTATCATACGTAAAGTGGCATGCACAACTATTGACTACAACTATTACTATTGACTGTCATACAGCTTACTGTAAGCACTGACCCAGATTTCTTCAACATATAAACAAAATGGCCTCTTAAATCTACCAATAACTATCCTTATCTAAAATAAAAATAAATAAACAACATATTTCAGTGAAAAACCCTAATCATTTGACCTGTAGTCTGGTCCATTGGACTCTGTTTCAGCTCTCAGTGCACCAGTGTTACAAAAGAGGTCACTTAGCCTCTGTTTCTCAGGATATCTCAGGGCATGTTTTGCTTCTCCTTTCCCCCATCTTCCTCCCACCTCTGCCTGCCTTTTTTGATTGTTAGCGTCTGACGAGACATGCTTGGCCTACGTTCTGGCCCTGTGAATTATTTATCAGCCTCTTGTCCAGTTAAATGGCAACAGCAGACCCAGCCAGCTGCTTCGTGCACGCTCAGAATGCACGCTGCCCTCAGAGGCTCTCTTTGCTGTCCAGTCAACAGAATATTTTGCACATTTGAATGACCCCCAACTTGCAAGGAGGGGAGGGGCTAGTACTAAACAGAGGGGACCCACATTATTAGCAGATGATGTATAGAAAATTAAATAAGTCCAACTGCAGTCCTCTTAAAAACATATCGATTTTTCATCTTAAAATCATTCGAGTTCAGGTAAGTTTTTAAACAAGTAATTGTGAGTTCAGTTCACTTTATTATTTAGCACCAGTTCACAACAAAAGTCCTCAGGGCACAGAGAAAATAGTTACAATTACAGGAAATTAATGTCTGAAAAGGCAAGTTAGATAAATCTTTAGGATCATCATTAGGTGTAAAGGGTAGTAGATTTAATTTGTTTGTTTGTATTTTGTTGGCTAAATATCTTAAGAAATAACTTGATAGAAGACATAGTCCATACTGTAATCTGGTTTGTTTTCTATGAGGGTTATTCTTTACAATTATAAAATTTATGTCTGAAGGCAAGTTTCTTCCCAACTGTCCCAATCCACGTGGAGTTTATAAACAGAAACAGCTGACTCTTCTATCAAACTAAACATCTCTGGTGTAATTGTTTTTCATTACTTCAAGTGCTTTTCTTTATTTATTCCAAGTTTTTTGTTTTTGCACCAAGACCACAATCTCCTACCAAATGGACCTCTTGTGAATTTAGCAAACAGGACGCCACCTGCTTACCTCTCTTTGCATTGATTAGAAATGACTGAATTAAATGGCCTGTTTTAAATCAAATGAAATCAAATGACACGCTGTGGTTACGGAGACGTTGGACCATAATGAAAATGGAACCAGCTCATCGGGGAACCCAGCTGTGGAACCACTGAAGCGTCGGAGACCATTTCTGGGTTCCAACACGGATCTGGAAATCAGTTTGGAAACTTAATTAGTCGGTCTTGGCAAATCTGGCAATTGCAGGATGATAAAATGGAATTAAAATTTCTTAATTTGTTTTACATTGTAGAAGGTTGTGGACTGATATTTCTAGCTTATTAAAATGGGAATTGAATGTTTTTGTTTGTTTGCAGTGTCCATCTCTATTACTTGTTTCCTAATTTGGAGGAGGGTGGCCTGGCAACCTACAGGACCGCCATCGTTCAGAACCAGCACTTGGCCATGCTCGCCAAGGTAACCTTCCATCCTCCTGCTCATAAYAGAGTCTTTCTCTGCAGGTGAAAACTGTGATGTCTCCAAAGTGACATGAGGACATGTTGGAGACAGTGTTATTGTCGTCTCTCCCGATGTTATGACTTTGCTACTTTCTTGAGTGTTCACAGGGGAAAAGAGTGATTTTGTCTGACTGCCATCCGAACCCATTTTTTTGCCCCCTCAGGTTTGTAATTGGAGTTAAAAGGTTGTTGTTTTGGAGACTGGTGCGACTGGGGTCCCCACGGACCCCTGGAGGTCTTCCTGAATCACTCTTCAGTTCCTGTTATCACCAGCCCCCCACACCCCACACCCCTCTTTACTTCCCCTTCTCTCTTGCTGGCAGCCCGGCAGCCCTCACTGGCACGGTTTGTAAAGAACACAACAATAATTGTCCCGTGATGTGGAGAAACCAATTAAAAACTTCAATCTTTCATGTTGCTCCCCGCTGAATACAAAGATGCAGCCGCCCGAATCTGCATTAGTGCTGTGTAGCAGTTTGGCTTGTTTCAATCTGCCGCTTGCGGTAAAAAAAAAAAAAAAAGTGAGCGTGATACAGCGTTCAGCGTTGCCAAGTTGTTTACCAGGCTCCTCTTAAAGCCGTCTGCTCAAGAACGCTCGCAATTATCTTTCAAAAATATATATATCTTCAGCCGCGCGACGGCACAATCCGCCACTTCACTCGTAAGGCTTTAAAGTCAGAGCGGGTTCCCTCCAAGTTTGAGTATTTGTGAAGTGTGGTTTTAATTTGTGTGTGCAATCACGGGGGGTGGGATACCACCAACAGTTATCAGCCATAATTAAAAAGCACCCTGGCTATTTTTTGTTTGTTGTTCACTGCCAACAAAGTCAAGTTGGGTTACTTTTTCTCCAGGCTCACAGATTTGCTGGAAGTTTGATGGACCGCCTCACCCTCGTCCCAACACTCGTTTATACAATAAACCTGTCCAGATTCTGAGGCTCTTTTTTGTGTTGTATTTCTGCATACTTGCACAATTTAATGATGTCACTAGTGGCTTCTTTGGTTGCTTTCTAATCAGCTATATTTTATTATATAATGGGAATTGAAATCAAAATACAGAACAAAAACTTTTTGTTGTGACAAAGTTGTGTAAAAGAGTCTTTAAATAATTAGTAATTATGCAGGCCTGTTACCACTTGCGTAAAATTTCACTTTAAGTTAAGAAATAAAGATAGAGAAGTTTAAAGAACAAATACAATCCAGAAGTTCTTCCTGCGCACTAAAACAGCCGTGTTATAGCATGTTTCATAAAAGCTAAAAAGCAAAATACGTTTGTGAAAGAATGAGCTCCACCTGATTAACCAACATCTTATAAACCACCTCTATTTGACTTTCTTTATCATATATCAGACTCACATGGTTGTTGTGGATTTTTGGCCCACTCTTCTTTACAATGTTGTTTCAATTAATTGAGGTTCACAGATTTCAGCAAAGCTTTATTAAGGTCCCATCACAGCATTTCAGTAAAACAGTAGTCTTGACTGGGACCATTTCATTAAAAAAAAAATTTCAATCAGTCTGTTGTAAATTTGCTGCTCTGTTTGGGATTTTTTAAATGAATGAGGACTTCATTCAACGACTACAATGTGTCCAGGTTTTGTGGTTGCAAAATAAGCCCAAATCATCCAAGAAGGGGTCTTTGCAGTCACTACATGGGCATGGGTTGGATAATAAAGATAAACTGATTTGTCAAACTGACTATTTTGGAATGGAGTTTGAAGCAGCCACAACTCTTTGATTGGATGAATGCCAGGCAGCTGGGGCGGGGTTAACAATTCAGATCACTAGTTTTGAATATAAATATAGATTTTAMTCCTAACTCAAGTCAGGACGGTGCTAACCGTACCAGATTTGAACACTATACAAGTGGAGGGACGTTTAACAATTCAGTCGTCGTGTGGTGCTTTAACCAAGACAGATTTGTGGACAAAATGACACGACCTCCCAACAGAGTTTAGACTCCAGAGGGAAGAAACCCTGTACAGTGACGTCTACCACAGTGGGAGGGGTTTCCCAGGGGCTCGGTGCAGTGTGTCTCATTAGCTATGAAAGGTGTGGGTGTATAAAAACGAACGTCAAACAACCACGTGGCCGCTCACCGACTGTTCAGCTTTGATCRAGTTTAATTGGCTCTTTAGTGACCACAGAGACCCCCTTCTCAAATCACCCCTCCACCACTACCCTTGACAGTTTGTATGAGATGTTTATACTGATAACTGCTGTGCTTAGTTCAGTTTTTGTGAGACATGTTGCTTTGTATTTGGGGCCAAACATTGTTTTGAATGTCTGATGGTTTGTTTAAATGAAACTTTGCATATGTTACAGATTGTTTCCATTGACCATGAAAATGAAAATTAGAATTTTGAAAATTAATTTGCTCAATRGAAACACGTCAATTTTGAAAAAAWAATTAGTTTTTCAACAAAATGTTTTTGCGCTAGGATGAGGTGATTTTTCGGCCGTATCGAAATTGGTGTTTTTCGCAAAACTGCACTGGAAACACTTTTTTCGCATCACGGGAGTCACATGATCAACAACCGGCTGTTTCTACTGGCGAAACAGATGACAACAGGAAGTAGAAGTAGTAGTAGTATCACAGAAGTAGTCAAATAAAGTAGTAAACTCACCGACTACAATTTCCCAAAAACACAGCATTGGTAGCCGCTCCCAAATAGGGGCTTGTCGCTGGAAAGCCTCGATAAACGACGCCGACATCTCCTCTGATGATGAGCGCTAGTGTCGCGGTAGCAACTTGCTATGTGTTTACATCCATTGCCGCCAGGTTTGTAATRACTTATCGCGAGAACAAGCGTATTCACATGTGWCTTTAATAGCATTTCCTTCTTAATGGAAACACCGCAGTTGCGAAACTGTTTTTCGACATTTAACAGAATATCGACAAAGTTTTGCGCACATTTGCAATGGAAACGCAGCTAGTGAAGAGTCGATCTAAAGTGGCCACTCCTGGGATAATTGGCAGATGTATTTGGTGTCCATGCGTATTAAATMTTTCAGTCTGTAAAATGATAAACTCCTGATTGTTTGAAAATGACTTTTAACCTTTCACACATTGCTAGTCAGCAACAGTTGCTCCTCTGAGGTCATTGCAGATGTCTTTTCATCTTGGCATTATGTCAACACACAACAGTAAGATCCAAAGCAGCAAACTGACAACAAAACTGTTTTTTGGCTCAGTTTTTGCCAAATAAACAACACAGTCAAATATTTTGTGTCGATGTTGTATATTCTGAGGTTTGAATTTGTTAAAAACTATATAAATTTCAAAACATTTGTTGAATAAAAAATTACACTTGAGTGTGTATCAAGGCTTTGATTTTAGATCATGAAAATGTGTCAAGATTTAATCGTTTTATATTARTATTAAGTAGTTTTTCGGTGAATGTAATAAAATATTTGTGTTTCACATCCCCTGAATATGCATCTGTGCTGTTGTAGGCCCGTTAAAAAAAAAAAAAAAAAGGAGAACTTCCCAGACTGTATGAAGGTCGCCGCTGTTCTATTTCACATTTTATCTCTGGGATTATCTGCTCATTTCTGTGTCTGTGTACGAGTTTGTGCGTGCATGCATCCACTTGGATGCGAATGTTTCTGCTATGCTTTGGCTTAGTGCGTCATGCCACAGCTGGACAACACATGAGCACATCTGTCAGTGCCATGAAGTAGAACCTTTTCTAGTGAAGGCAGGCGATCTTTTCCATTTCCCTCGTTTTTTTAGTCCTTTTTGTATAGCACTGGTTTCCTACAGAGAGCCTATAAAAATGTGCAATAAGATATTGCTTTTTAAAGTAGCTATTACTGACGTGTCAGTGGCTTCCTGCTGATATGAATGTGTCTTTTCTTTTTCAGAAACTGGAGTTGGATCGCTTCATGCTTTACGCTCACGGTCCAGACCTGTGCCGCGAGTCGGACTTGAGGCACGCTATGGCCAACTGCTTCGAAGCTCTCATTGGTGAGATGCCCTCGAGATAGCAGAGGCCAGGAAAATGATTGTGCAGAACATAAGGGGAAACAWTTAGTGAACTGAATCAATTAAAAGGAAACTCTCATGGATTTGAAATTAGATTTTGTCCAAAACACAACAAATCACTGTATAAATATTTTAAACTACACCTATTTTTTTGTTATTGTTTTTGTTTTTTCAAGCAGCCTTGTAATATTTTAAAAGATTGCATTCAATAGTTTTCAAGGCTTTTTAAAAGTATTTTTAAAGTTTTTCTTAAAACTTTGGCTGCTTTTTCGTGTTTTCAAGTCAGTCCTTGAACCTGACCATGACAGCATATTGCACAGCTTAAAAAAAGGAGGTCAGTGGACAAAGAAGTGTTTAGTCTGAATACAGCAGACTTTTCATGTCTGAAAGTCATGTCTTTAGGAAACAGGGAACATAAAATCAGATGTATCATCATTTAGCTGATCATCTTATGTAAGGTAATAACTACATGGGTTGTATTACACAGGCCCACAGCTGTAGGAGACTAGTCGGCAACTGAAAATTGCAATAAAAAATACAAAGTTTTCACTAATATCAGAGTGTTTGCGACCAGTAAGCTGTGTAGTTGCATTTTGTGAGACTAGTGTTGGAAAACCACAACCAATTTTTGTGTTCACAGCCTGAAAAGCTGCACATGCCACTGAACGACGCAATGCTTTTCCCACCTCTGCCCACATCGAACCCACCATGATGCCCACAATGATTTTGTGACTATATTATTTATCTTCTTGCACAGATTTCTTGACTATGTTGAAAACCCTAAAAAGCCCTGTCACGCTGTAATGTTTTAGATAACTTATGCTGACTTGTGAAAATTTTTGTAATACATAAATGTTAAAACCGCTAGCATGCGTCCAAAAGAGGCTCCCATCAGATTATTTTTATGTCATTTTTAACGAAGACATCTCTAGGTTTGAACAAAATTTCCATATATTTGTTAAAACGTTAGTGTGACTGCACACCTCTATGACTCATGCAACAAAATCGAGAACCTTTGTGAAAGGGACAAGTCGTTCTGGAGACTCCCTTGTGAAAGTTGTTTGCCAGTTCTCCACAACCCAGTGAGATGCCAACTTTAAGATATAAATAAATATTTTTGCTTGAGTGTTTTGTTTTGGGACGACACTGTACCCAAAGAAATAAATCCGAAATTAGTGTTYGAATCTAAGAAAAGCACATAATGCTAGAAATGATCAGGCACAATATTAATGATAGAAAAAGAAATCTAAAGTGAAACCTTGAAAAGACCSTCAGAAAACTCAGAAATCTGTTGATCAATGCCACTATTACAATAATGCCTGTCTGCTTTGAAGAAAAACACAAAAAACTGAAGGCTGATTCAACACCTTTGCCTCAGTTATAGATGGCAACACATTTATGAAAGTTTAAACATTCTAGTTTTTCTGCAGTTGGTCTTTTTTTTGAAAAAATGCTTTCATGCATGAAAGTGTATTTCAGGTTTGTGGGAGTTAATCTGTGTAAATAGCTTCACTTGATCTCCCTTTAGGCCCCAAGAACATTATTGATCTCRGGAGAAGTTGTCTGACCTCCTGCTTGGACACACATTCCCCGAAGCGCTGCCCTACTTTACCTCAAAGCAAACACTGCCGATCGAGCTCCTGCACCAACTTCTACACAAACTGACAACCGTCTTGGTGCAGGGGACTGTTCTCCCTGTCCTCATCCAACCCCATGGGCTTCTCTAAGCCTGATCCTGGAGAGCTGCAGAGCTGGCAGCTTTTCTCTTCTTATCACCATCTTGATTGAACCAGTTCAGCCCTCTCTGCGCTCCCTTCCTGATGAAAGATACAGAAACTGGGTGGCTTTAAGGAGATCATCTTTGCGCCTCCCTTTTCTTCCCCCCTACTCTGCTTCAGGAGGAAAAAAAAAAGGCGGAGAGCAAGGACCGAGCTGGGAATGTGCTGACTGCGGCCCCCTGTCGACCCTGGGGGCCCCGTACTTGTAACAGGTTCATTATTGGCAGACACAAAGTCGTAATCTGTTCAGTCCTGTGGCTGTCACCGTCTCAGCGTCTCCTCTCATCTTCCATCTTAAATTTCAACTTCATGAAAATGATGAATAAACTTGGTTCCTGCTCATAAAGGACCTGTCAGAGAGCACCCCGTGGTGATGCTTTTTAGATTACCAACTCAGAAATATCACCACAAACTCTGAACAGCTCGTGTACGCCTAAGTTTAAGACATTCAAAGAAACTTAAGTTGAGATTTGCCGTCTGATGTTGCTTTCTTTTCTCTCACTGCTCCTTTTGTCATCCCCCCCCACCCACCCAGTTTTTTTAGCTCAAACGTCTCTTTTAAGACCTTGTTGTCAAGCAKTCTAGCTGTCTCCACCCTACAAAGTCTCTGAAGAGCTCTTTACGTCCATTTTGCGTTATTGTCCAACCCCTTCTCCCTGTGATCTAGACTTTGGGTGTTATTAGGTGCAAGCTGTTTGTGATGAGTCATGCTGTCAGTCTGTCATCTCCTTCTTCACCCTCATCCTCCTCCTCCTCACCCGCAAGCCTTCTAGAGCTCTTGCACGTGCCGCGGGATGTCATTTYATCCTGGCGCTCGGCGTTCCATCTGACAGAGACGTCAAACCACCACTTTCTCAAAAGCAGCTGCGCTTGCAAATGTGATGCCGCCTTGTTTTCTGAAGTTAGCAGCATTTCTTTTGATACTTTTTTTTCCTTCCCTTTTTAACATCATCCTTTTCCTCCATCGTGCACAAGCCTTGAATTCAAATGGACCTTGTGAAAAACTCTGATGGAATATGACACGCTCATAATATTTCCAAGGCCCTGGCAGATAGCTTTAACGGCTTACAATACATGTTTTCTGACCTTTGTTTTATTTGTTTCTGTGCCACGGTGACTGTTGAACCTGGGTCGTGTTGAAAATGGCAGATAATCTCCTGCTTTGCATGGGCGAAGCTTTCTCTCTCCGCTGAGCTGAGAACGTGTCTATCTCCTAACCCTGAGGCAGGGCCATTCTCCTGCTCGAGACACAGAGAGGGAAAAGAAAAAGAAAGAATAGAGGGAGAGAGAGAGAGAGAGAGCTGTGGAGGAATGGAAAGCAAAGGCATCTGCATTGCAAATAGGTGCCCTGCAACCCTGAATAATTCAAAGTGTTGAATGGAAATCTTGCTTTTCTGATCCCCTGTCATTAACTTCTGCCGGAGTGGGCCATTCTCATTCGGGCTCTTTTGGCCTCCCACTCTTCTTTTTTCCCTTTCTGTTTTTTTTCCTCTTCTACATTTACACCCCACTTCTGGAACCACTTTTCTTCTTCTGCGTTTTTTTCTATAGAAAGTCCTGCCCGCCTGTTGCCCTCCCGTTTCCCCTCTCAGGTCGGCTGATAAGCGACGTAGCTTCCTTCCTGCCGAAGAGTTTGAAAAGAATTGCAAGAAGAAGAAAAGAAGCCCCCTCTCTGTTTTTATAGCCCTAATTTCCTTGTACAGTTGATCTGTGGATTATTTGCTGCCAGCAGCCGTGGGGGATACAGATGGTGAACCTTTGTGAGGCCCCTCTCTAAGCTCTTCCCTATTAAAAGAGCACAGAGAAAGGATTATCTCTCACTTGCTGAATATCAGATTCATACACAATGCGCTCGRTGTATTCATTCAAAGACTACTGCTCCCATTGTTAATTGCTACAGTAAAGGTTTCTCTCTCCTTTTTTCTTTTTGTCTCTCTGGCTGCTTCAAGCCGCATTTTTCAAAACTATGATATCTGATATTGAAATGCTGCTGTGGTGAAAATTCTATTTCTATGTTTTGTTTATTTCTCTTACCTCTAATGTGTTGGTTTGTGCGTTCGTTGGCTGCTTCAGCCCCCATCGAGCTGAGAGGGAGCAGCTTAATATATTATTTGATGGATTAGAGCCTGAGCTTTTTTGAATAATTCATTCTGGGTTATTAATGTGACTGTCAGCCACTGGTGTTTCATATGCCCCTGACTCTAGGTTTTTATTGGTCATTGAAAGCCCACAGACACAGGAGTTTTGATCCAAAACATAACGGCGTACAGTTGACATGGCTGTTTGACTAAGACTGATGACAGATGTGAAGATTCCTTGGTCTTTGCTGCCCATTCCTGATCCTCTCTGCTCAGGACTGCATAAAAACTTGTCTTCTCTCTAATATGTGTTACAATTTCAGGCTAAAGAGTTTGGATTTGAAGCACTTTGGGGGTGCTGCTTATAAAAGATGAGGGTTTCAGCATATAGTTGCACCAATTAAACATCTGGAAAATGGAATCTGAACAATTAGTGATGTTCCGATATCAGTTTTTCTCAAACATATAMAAGTACTTTCTGAGTTAGAACCTAAACATTACACAATAACTTTAAAAACACATTTCTTTTATTTAGAACAAGTTGTGTCTCCATCCTTGTAGGCCTACAGCATCTCTGACTGTAACAAATCAAATCTTCTGCATGATGTATACTGCAACATAGCATAACATTTCAAAATAAATAAAAATTAACTAATACAGTTGTATAAATTTCCTCAATGTGGAGCTGACAACTTTTCACTTGAAATGTAAACTGTAACACATCCAGTAGAGTATTGACTCAGTATCAAATCCAGTATCCATATCGGTTTGGGTATCGGTCCTGAGTTTTGGGGCAATTTGTAAGAGTGCTTGTAAAAATTCTGGTGCCAGGCATGATACCGAGACCAGCATTGCTATTGGAGAACCACTAGGGACAATTTTAGTCTTGACTGGCTGATCCAACATTAAGAATCTGACTCTTCTATCCAGTCAGTCCATAATTATATGATGATGAAATATTCAGCTTTATTCTGGTCCACAAATGCTGTTTCATCAAGCGACTAATTGGCTGTCCACATGGGAAGTGCGGTTTTGTGAATATACAGACCATATTCTGTTGGGAAACCTTGCATTCCTATGTTTACATAGATTTTACATTATTTCACATTCACCAGTTTTGCTGATT